GGCAGAGAACGCGTCCTTTGAGAAATGGAATGCTGCGTTCTTCCTGATGGTCACGTGACCTTCATGCGTTTTAAATGGTAAATTATTTAAACATTACAGCCTTCATACAACGATTTATTGTTTTTCCCCTTTTCAAAGTATATACTTTGCTTAAAAACATTATAAATCTATGTTGCACAATATAAATAAAACAGATTTTAATTTCAGCAAACAAACACCCTTAATGTGTTTATTCCTTTATTAAGATGTCCATGGTAATGTTTACTTTCACCGTTTCATTTAGGGAAACTCCTGAGGTAAAAAAATCATATCTCTGAACTTTAATAATAAATCTAGATAAAATGCAGCGTTTCCCACCTCCAGTCGCAATGACTTATGGGACTTCCAGAGCGAGTTCGGTGCTCAAGTCTGCATCGGTGAGTCCTCGATATCAAGAACACATCCGGGAAGTTTCATGCGTCCTCTGTTCTTGCGGTCTTGAGTATTGGAACTGAACTTAGGCAGCTGATGATGGTGTTTCACGAGAACACGAGGACGCAAGACCGCTGAAGAACGCATATTGAGAAACAGCCAGAGATAAGGGCTGGCTGGAAAGAGACGAGGAGTCAGATGAGCAGCAATACAAAAACAGAACAGGCTTGAAGGCAGACGGAGAAAAAACACTTTAGAAAAAATCAACAGGATGACACCAGACACGACAAAACTCACAGGATTAACAAGGAACAGGACTAGACTGGGAGATCGCCAGACATGCCGGAAGGGGAAAAACTACAATCTGACACAGAACTACGATCAAGGGAGGGATAAATAGGGGGAGAAATCAAGGAAACCAGGTGAGTGAAATTAGTTTGATAGAATAATGGAAAGTAATAGAGCAGATGGGTGGGGGAGCAAGAGGTAAACAAAGCAGGGTATGAGTGATCAAAACAATACAAGTGAAAAAGAAAGAGTAACACAAAGATCGAACCGGTGATCAGACCGAGACTGTGACAGAGGGATATGAATTTGGAGCTGCTTATTGCTCTGGTGAACAATAATCATGTCTTCATGGCTAGAGCTGCTACTTGAGCCATCCATAACAACAAGTATGTCTTCTTCTGTGTTACAAGCGTGTGTCAGAAGCTTAAAGTTGTGTAGCGCCATCTAACGTCAAGGAGTGATTTTGCATACTCTTCTGCTCGAGGCCTGTGAAAATCACTTGGGTTTAAATCCGGAAAAACATCTTGAAAAACGCTGATGATAAACGCAAACGAAAAGTGTCCCGGTGTGTACGAGCCTTAAGTCTAACATGTACCTCCTTACTAAATCTAATAATGTAAGGGAGACTCCCCTACTCCCTGACAGCTCAAAAAAAAAAAAAAAAAAAAAATATATATATATATATATATATATATATATATATATACTTAAATTTGTAGTTACTGGGCCCTATCATACAGCAGGTCAAGACGTGTATGGGGCAATTTGTTACTATTTTCTGCCACCGCAACCCTAACTTTCACGTTTTGCACCACGTTCTTTAAATAGCAAATCCATTTGCACCACTTTGTGGACTCATGGCTGTTATAAAGGAGGTGTGTTTAGGCACACTGTTGAGATGTTGCTATTTGAGCAACTGAAATAGACCGCACCATTGACCAACTAAAACTGCTCTAAAGTCCAGCAGACCGCATTAATTATGTGCCTATGCAGCTCCAAACGCTTACACACTGCTTATTACACACGGGATGTACAGCAATAGGCAAATATCATTACAGATGAAATCAATTAAAGGATCAAAATGATCAGAATGCCTTCTTTACCTCAGGGGGCTTTTTCAGTTTATTCATGACTATCTCTATCTGTATAATGTTATTATTACTAGCAGTATTATTTATTATCTGCATACTTATGTTTGTTTTAATAAACACAAGTGTAGATTCGTCCATCTGTGGAGTTTTGGCGACGTCAGCAATACTATATGGGGCATAAGAGCAGGAAGTGTGTTTGTGTCTCGGTTGCAGGTTTGTGCGCTTTTCCGGAGTGTCTGTTTGATCACGTGTGTTTGTTTTGTTTTGGTTGTCCATGTGTCTCTGTTATGCTCACGTGCTATGACGACACTCAGCTGGTCTGATTAGCTGGCCAGCTGAGGCTCATTATTGTGCCTATATCTGGGCGAAGTTTCAATGTTTCTTTGTCAGTTCGTTACACTTGCTTGTGTGTGTTGTCTGTGCTTAGGCCCCTGAGGAGAATTACCTGGACCCTGTTATCCTGTCTGTTCCTGCCCTGTGTTCTTCGTCCTCCTAGCCTGTCCCTGCTAAAAAAATCCAGCTTAAACCAGCCTAAGCTGGTTGGCTGGTTTTAGCTGGTCAACCAGGCTGGTTTTAGAGGGGTTTTGGCCACTTCCAGGCTGGTTTCCAGCCATTTCCAGCCTGGTCTTAGCTGGTCAGGCTGGGAGATGACCATCTAAAACCAGCTTGACCAGCCTAACCAAGCTGGGAGTCCAGCCAAAACCAGCTATATCCAGCTTAAACCAGGCTGGTCAAGCTGGTTTTAGCTGGATTTGGCTGGTCATTTTCCAGCCTGACCAGCTAAGACCAGGCTGGAAGTGGCTGGAAACCAGCCTGGAAGTGGCCAAAACCCCTCTAAAACCAGCCTGGTCGACCAGCTAAAACCAGCCAACCAGCCTAGGCTGGTTTAAGCTGGATTTTTCAGCAGGGGTCACTATTATTGTTTGTTTATTTTGACTATTTTGAGATTAGAACTGCATTTAAAAATAGTTCTGAAACAAATCTTAACCAACAAAATCAAATTTGTTTGTTATGTTTCCACCTTTTGATTACTCTCTCAAAGGAAAGAGTAAAAGAAGAGTTCACCTTTTCAGTCACAGTTAGGACTAATTCTCAAACAGCAACTTACATTCGCACCAATAGGTGGCACTTCAAAAAAAAATAATAAAAAAATTCCCTATCCTTAAAACAAACATCCACAGAACAAACCAAATATCTAAAGTGTTTTCTGTATTTAAAATAACAAATAGTCATGAGACAACTCTGGCTGTAGATGTTTTTTTTCAGCTGGTTAACATCTTTATCTCATGATTTTTGAACAATCTTATTTTATATACAGTTGAAACCAAAAGTTTACATCCACTGTATAAAAAGGCACATAACCTTTTAAAAAATGTCAGATGTTCCTGTGACTAAACTTTTTGTCTTTTAGGTAAGTTAGGATTGTTACATTTGTGTCTGTTATGCTTAATAGCAGAATAATGAGAGAGAGATTTGTTATAACTTTTCTTGAAAGTCAAGTTTACATACAATAAGATTATTATGCCACTGTAAAAGCTCAGGCGCAGTAGGTAGTGCTGTCGCCTCACAGCAAGAAGGTCGCTGGGTCACTGGTTCGAGCCTCGGCTCAGTTGGCATTTCTGTGTGGAGTTTGCATGTTCTCCCTGCGTTCGCATGGGTTTCCTCCGGGGGCTCCGGATTCCCCCACAGTCCAAAGACATGCGGTACAGGTGAATTGGGTAGGCTAAATTGTCCATAGTGTATGAGTGATTGTGTTTGCTCCCCAGAGATGAGTTGCGGCTGGAAGGGCATCCGCTGGGTAAAAACTTGCTGGATAAGTTGGCGGTTCACTCCGCTGTGGCGATCCCGGATTAATAAAGGGACTAAGCCGAAAAAGAAAATGAATGAATGAAAGAATGTAAAAGCTCAGATGATGGTGTCAAGGTTTTGGCAGTTTCTGATTGGCTAATTGACAACATTTGAGTTAATTGGAGGCACAACTGTAGAATAGTACTTAAGGAAAACCTCAATCACACTGCTTCCTTGTGTGACAACATAAGAAAATCTTGTTTTTTATTATTATTTTTTTTTTAAATGGTTATGTCCCTTTTTTTTTTAGAGTTTATGTTAACTTCTGGTTTCAACTGTATAACGTTTTCTTCAGCCTTTTTAAATGTGTACTTACCGAACCACACTCTGGAACACCCCACCGGACCAGTGCTGACTAACCACACCACACCCAGACATGGCACAGACCACTCACACTTGTCAAATGAAACAGGAAACAGGTCAAATGCACTCAGGCATGGTTTGGATAGTTTAATGTGAGTATACTCTTAGATTAAATCAGATTTCATTCAGCTGAGACACAAATCATGATTTACTGAAGATCTGCTGCTCACAGAATCACATTCAGCAAAACATAAAGAGACCAAACACCAGCAGATCTAGAAAACAGTTTCATAAAAATACTTAAACAGACTTAGGCTCAATCCCAATTCTATTTTTGTACCCCTACCCCTTCGCCCTTACAACCGAGGATTAAGGGGAAGGGCTTCAAAATTTACCCCTAAGAATTGGGACAGCACTACAGCACCTGCACACGTCATCATATGTCCTCGCGATATCCTGCTTATCCTGTGAGATCAGACGATGGCGACTGCTGTAGTGATTCCAGGTGTGTTATGTTTTGGTATTATCTTCAAGAGATCACTGAAGGCATATATTATTTCACCATAACGATCTAATGTGGCAATAAGATTGTAATTGTACTGTGCATTTACACAGTGGCCAAAACCATCAATTTAAACACACCAAAAATAACATTAACATTATAGCAGACACTGTAAAAAGCCCATTGACAGCCACTAGAAATTATTGACAGGGTATTCCAGTGTCAGAATGCTGTGGGACTGCTGTATAGGAGTTATTTAATAGGGATTATAGATTGCGAAATTTAGCGTTTTTTTTTTTTTTTAATTTTTAAGCATGATGGTAAAACACGAACGCGGTTATTAATATATTAAAACATGGGCTTGTTTGTTTGTTGTAAAAATTTGTAATAATGACAAAAAATAATTATTTGTGGATCCCCTATACTTCCGGGTTCAGCAATACGGCTGCTGTGGCTGGTGTATTCTAGGAGATTTTCTTACCCCTTGGTTTCAAGTGTGGTCCTGAAAAATCTTTGTTCTAAGGGCTATTTACCTCTTCCCCTTAGCCCTACGCCTTCAAGCTAAAGATAATTGGGACACCCCTACCCCTTGGCATGCATGCGCTAAATGAAGGGCTACGGGGTAGAATTGGTATTGGGCCTTAGACATGACTAAAATCTTTAACAGAAGAACCTTAAATCTTAAACATTTGTGTTAAAATTTTAAAAGAATGTTATATAATGGTAGATAAAATACAGAAATAAAACTGTAGGCTACTTTAAAAGTACAAACTGCATATTCACTCAGAACTTATACAAGAACAAGTCTAGCAATAATGAGTTGAAAACAGTGAATGTAAGTAAACACACAGACACATCTTCTCTCAGTGGTTAGTGCAGATGAAATTGAGTCTGTGAGATTCAGGAAGGCTGATCCAGGTCTGATCTCCTCCAGACTGAACTGCTCCTTTTCTGTTCTCCAGTTTGCAGTTTTCCGGTGTGCTGCCGTTCCCTGGAGCCCAGTTCTGATAGCACACCATGTCTCCACTCAGCCAGAGCCACATGTTTACGCTGCAGAAATTGTGTAAACCCAACCACACCGCCTCAGTAGACGCCAGTTTAACCACGTTCATCACACGACGCTGCATCTCCACTGACTGAACCGAGACCAGATCCACATGATTCTGTCTGCAGTGTCTCAGAGCTTCAGACCACGACAGATTCTGCTGGATCACAATCAGTTTATCTGGACACAAAACAAAGCAGAAACTAGAGAGAGACTGATCAACAACAACATGCAGAACAAACACTGTGGAGGAATTTATCATGTCAGACATGTAGAGTCAACTTTAAGAGATCTGGAGCTGATGATGGATTGAGTGTGTTTGGAGGATCTGCTCACCTTCATGACACACAAAAGGAAATGAGCTGGTGCAGGAGATGTCATGCCATTTTCCCTGAACATACAGACTTATTCCTACACAGTTTTCAATGCCTCCTTGATTATCAGGTTGAGTAGTATCCCAGTATCTGAATGAGGAGTTGCTCTGATCTGACCACTGCCATGTGTCTCTGAACAGACCGATCCAGACTGCAGATCCAGATGAGTTTCTGTCATTAATGAACTTCTCCAGCTGTTGATTCTCATTCTGGTTCCTCACACTGACCAGATCAATGTGATTCTGTCTGCAGTAACTCTGAGCGTCTCTCCAGGTCATCATCTGATTGACAAACACCAGTCCTGTCCTCACTTTAATGAATGAAAAATGAACAGGAGCATCATCAGAAATGCCTTTGTTACCAATTGAGTGAGCTGTTATATTTATAAATATTACTGAGATCTGCCACAACCAAGCATCTCACATACATATTTAAAGAATATGTGTTATATATCAAGCTTTTTAGAATTTATAATTAGAAAATTCTGATAATACATTTACATGTATACAAGTATGTGTTTGGCAAAGCGGTGGCGCAGTAGGTAGTGCTGTCGTCTCACAGCAAGAAGGTCGCTGGTTCGAGCCTGAGCTGGGTCAGTTGGCATTTCTGTGTGGAGTTTGCATGCTCTCCCCGTGTTTGCGTGGGTTTTTCTACGGGTGATCTGTGTAAATGAGTGTGTACGGATGTTTCCCTGAGATGGGTTGCAGCTGGAAAGGCATCCGCTGCATAAAACATATGCTGGATAAGTTGGCGGTTCAGTCCGCTGTGGTGACCCCAGATTAACTGATGTGGTTTATATTCCGTAATACAACTATTTATTATTGCATGTTATAAAATATGCAGCTGCATTTGTAAAATCGGTTGCCGTCTTACATGCCGCCTTGATGACGTAGACTGGAACATGTTCCAACGCAGTACTGATGGCATAAGCAAATTTACAGAAATGGTTGTGGGATTTACAGGAAAACTAACAGATGACACCAGGGGTGTAGCACCAAATTCTGGGCCCTGTACCCTCTCAATGTCAGTGGGCCCCCTACACATTTTTTTTTATTATTTGAATATAAACATGCACAAATAGTGTTTTAATCTATAATCAAATCAGATTATAATAATGACTGGTTCTTTCATTTACCACCATTGAGTGCTGCTTCTGCTGGTATGTCGGAACTATTGGTTGCTTCTGAAACTGGTTAATGTTGGCAACCTGACGTTAGCTGGCCTGGCCCATAATTTACTTACAGCAACAAGCAGCCTGGTTGACAAACTAAGCTCAAGATTTAACAATAGCAGACATACATTACAGGGCTCGAAATTAACTTTTTTACTTGGTAGCACTGATGCTCCCAACTTCAAAAAGTTAGGAGCATCCCAAGAAATTTAGGAGCACCCATTTTCTTTTTAGTTATGCGCCGATCTTGATTCTTAATGGCCGATTTTGATTAGCACACGTACATCTCGGAGATGTCTATTTGACGTCTGCATTCACATCTGCAAGACATCTACAAGACGTTTCCTATCAGATGTGAAATAGACTTCTATTAGACATCTTTAAGATGTTTGCAATTCAGAATGTGTGTAAAACTGACATCATACAGACGTCTGCCAGACGTTGGGGGGGAGGTTGGTGGGGGAGTCTTTTCAATATATTTTGAAATAAATAATGACATTGACATCAATTGGAGGGGCCAATTAATTCGAAGTAGGCTACAAAAAAAAATACTAATATAAAATTGGTGGGATTTCAAAGGGCCCTCTCCCTAGACGGGGCCCTGGGTAGTCAGGTCCACTTTTCCCCCCACTACCACGCCCATGGATGACACTGTAGAGAAAACTACTATCAGAACATTTCCCAACCAGAAGCTGTAGGAGGATAAAACCTGCTCATGACACTCGAGGATCCTGTACCGCCACCTACAATAAGGAAGCTACTTTGATCCCATACAAAGTCATGTCATACAATGTCCGGAAAGCAGTGAAGCAAAAATACAGGCAAGGACTAGAGTCACCGTCTCAACAAAGTGACTCTAGGAGCCTGTGGTAGGGACTAAAAACAATCCCTACTGAAAAAAAACAGCTTAAACCAGCCTAGGCTGGTTGGCAGCCATTTCCAGCCTGATCTTAGCTGGTCAGGCTGGGAGATGACCAGCTAAAACCAGCTTGACCAGCCTAGCCAAAACCAGCTATGTCCAGCTTAAACCAGGCTGGTCAAGCGGGTTTTAGCTGGATTTGGCTGATCATTTTCCAGCCTGACGAGCTAAGACCAGGCTGCAAACCAGCCTAGGCTGGTTTAAGCTGGATTTTTCTGCAGGGATAACAGACTATAAAGCACCAACATACAGTATGAAGAGCACAGATGTGTTTCTGGCAGGCGAGCTGAACACCATTCATGCTCGCGTCGAGGCTGCAGGCAATGTTGCTAGCATTGCTAATGCTAAAGGTACCCCTAAGTGCCAGCACCAAAACTGGGTTTATCATATCTGAGCATGACAGGAGAAGAGCCTTTAAGAGAGTGAACACCAGTAAAGCATAATAAGACAGCATCTCCAAACGAATGATAATCTCCCGGAAATTGCACGTCTCCCGCTCGGTCCTTAAATAGGTCGCACACCCCTCTCCACCACATCCCTCCCAGCTCTACGTCGCACGCAACTCGCCCACACCGCTCTTCAGATACGTCACGCGCAACTCGCCCCCACCGATCTTCAGTTACATCGCATACACACACCCCCACCGCTCTTTACCCCACACCACCCCCATTTTGCCTATCATCAAAGCTGTTCAGTTTGAAATAGACCTTCACCTGAACTCAAAGCATGTTTTAGCAAGCTCAGAAGTCACCTTAAATCCCCATCCGTCAATTAAAAAGATTCAAAGATAGCATTAGCTTTACTGTAAAAGATCTGTGTTATATTAGACAGCAACTTAACTTTTGAAAATCATATACCCATACCTGTCAACCCTCCTGTTTTTTCCGGGATTCTCCCGTATTTTACAGTTCTATCCCGCTATCATCCTGTAAAGGTATTTTCCCGTATTTTCAGTCTTTCTCTGAACAGCCGAGCCTCCCTATACACAACCCATACCGCCGAACCACCAGGGGTCGCCCCTTGCTCGTAAACGTGAGTCTGTTCTGTGCTTTCGCTTTGTTTAGGAATGAAAACACTCATAAATAAATCTTAAAAACGTCTTGATTCCTGTTCCTTTTGATTACAGGGGACCAGGTTACCGTCACGCATCCTGTACAATCCTTAAAACAGTCATATAATGGTGCATGCTGTTTCCCAAACGGATTCTGTACACACAATTTACATTTACATTTAGTCATTTAGCAGACGCTTTTATCCAAAGCGACTTACAAATGAGGACAAGGAAGCAATTTACACAACTAAGAGCAACATTTTATTTTTTTTTGATTGATAAAAAAAAATAAAGGCTTGATTGAACAATGAATAAGTGCTATAGGCAAGTTTCAGGTCTGTAAAGTCTAAGAAGGAAAGTATTAGTATTTTTTTTATTTAATTTAATTTTATTTATTTATTTTTTTGGGTACAGTTAGTGTGATATCCAGAGAGGCAATTGCAGATTAGGAAGTGAAGTGGAGACTAAATAGTTGAGTTTTTAGTCGTTTCTTGAAAATAGCGAGTGACTCTGCTGTTCTGATGCAGTTAGGGAGTTCATTCCACCAACTGGGCAGATTGAGCGTGAGCGTTCGCGAAAGTGATTTCTTCCCTCTTTGGGATGGAACCACGAGTCTGGCTTTTGGGTGCGTGTTTAAACAGACATATACACATAATTAATAATAATAACTTATAAAGATGTAAATTTTGGTGGGGTTATTTTTCCGAACACAACTAATTTCTTCTTAAATAAGCATAAAAAGTTTGGAAAGCAGTCAAATGCTTTCATTATAACGTTAGATGTGTGCATTTTTAAAGTGACACCTCTTATTTAATGTAATGAAAAATCTAAATAAATGAGAGATTCATTTGTTGCTCTTTAATCAGAATGTATAAGTTATACAGTGAATAAACAGCTCATGAGATTTGTTAGCTTGATTCTATTTCATTATAATAGCTATTAATTTTAATAAGCTAAACTGTTTGCTAATGTATTTGCTGCTAATGTATATATTTATTTTTCTTTTTTAATAATAATTTTAAAACAAATTACTGACCATTTAACAGTATATTTACAACAAAACAGCTCCAAATGAACATATTTTAGTAATTTGGTGATTTGTTCTTAAAGGGGGTGGGGGGGGGGGGTTGTCCCTTATTATGGTGGGCTTATTTTCACGTCCCAATGTTGACAGGTTTGTATACCCCATGTCACAAAAACTGCCTTCTTTCAACTGAGAAATATTGCTAAGTTACGAAGTATGCTATCCATCTAAAATACTTTTATGACTTCTAGGCTGGATTACTGTAATGCTCTGTTCGCTGGTTGCCCAGCATTCTCTATTAATACACTTTAGCTAGTGCAGCTGTCTGAATTCTTACCAGGTCTAGAAAATATGATCATATCACCCCAATTTTATCCTCCTCACACTGGCTGCCTGTTAAGTTCCTTATTGATTATAAAATAGTACTTCTTACCTATAAAGCTTTAAATAATCGAGCTCCTGTTTATCTAACCAACCTTCTGTCTTGCTACAATCCAGCTCGCTCCTTAAGATCACAAAACCTAGGGGTTCTGGTTTAGCAAAGTTTACTAAAGGAGGTAGAGCCATCTCATTTATGGCTCCTAAACTCTGGAACAACCTTCCTGATAATGTCTGAGGCTACATATACTTAATTCATTATGAATTCATTAATTATTCATAAATAATTAATTTACCTCCACCTATGATGACGATGCTATCGTCCCTTCGTCGATGCCAAATTGGTCGACGTCGCCCAACCTTAACTGACAGTTTCAAATGACTAGGACTTCGATGTGAAGCTGCTTTGACACAATCTACATTGTAAAAGCGCTATACAAATAAAGATAAATTGAATTTATTGTGCCATTATATGTAATTAATGAATCACTATATCTTGTAAATAATTAGATTTTAAAAATTTGAATCGCTTGACAGCACTACTTTTTATTTTATTTTCTAATGCATAAGTATTTCTCCATAATTTATTGTCTATAGTTATTATTTTTTGTTGTTATTATTTTAAGGTCACGAGTGGTTGTTAAAGCTTTTCACTGCATATCATCTTGAGTGCGACTCTTGTTTTGTGTAATTATGTGAATTGGAATGGAAAATCTTTGCCTGACAAATAAATGTCAAATTCTTGTTTACCTCTAATATCTCCTGAAATCATTTAAATCTAGTAGATTGTTTAGGCTGATGTTTCCGCAGTCTACAACCAGAATTAGTCATACATTCAGGCTCAATGGATGAAGCATGGGCACAGCATTAGAGATTTCTGACAATAACTGACTTAGTATGATATAATCTAGTCACTAAATCAAACTTTCTTTATGTATGAGCAAGCATGGGGCAGCCTAATATTACTTAAAGGAAATTAGTTTACAGTTATATCCTCTATCTAAGAATCAAAACTGCCGAGGATGTGTCTGTGAGCAGATAGAGCTGGCCAGCATACTGACTCTAAGCGACTTTGGGTAAACGATGAACCATTAACTGAAAATAAAGATTTAATAGGTTAATCGAAATCTAATTTAGACCAAATCACAACCTATAAGGTGATCAACTTGAATTAGATGAATCTACATTTAAATTAGTATAAATTGGAGTCAGATTAAAATTCGGAGTTTGAAACAAATGAAAATTTATTTTAACAAGATATTACTTTTCACATGTGTTGAAAACGCTCACACGCATATAACCTTCACCCATACTGTTAGTTTTCTCATAGGACTAATAAATGAACCCTTACACTAGAATAATAACATATATATTTTATTTCATAAGGGTTTGTACTCACTGTTGTAGCAGATGAAAGTCCAGGCGTCACTATATGGTGCAACAAACCACTTTCCATTTCTCATAACAGTACAATTATCACCTTCAGCTGGTTGTCCAGATGCCCAGTTCAGAAAGAGCACAGGATCACCTGAAGACCAATGCCATTTATAAACACTCATCTTCTGAAGACCAATCCAGGCATATCCATCATTCACTTTCACACTCTTCTTCAGCTGGATCATGTCGTTCATGTTGTCAACGGTGGCCAGATCTGTGTATTTCTCTCTGCAGTATCTCTGAGCTTCAGTCCAGGTCTTGTTCTCATTGATAAAGTGATACTGACGCTGAACACATTCAGATATGGAGCAGAGAGCTGTGAAAGAGGCACTTTGCTTTAATGCTTTTCAGAAGAGTCGAACCTAATGAAACTATAAACCATAAATAAAACTACAAACACACTCACCAATGAGGAGAAGAGAGAGATATAGAGTCTGAGCCATTTCTGAGGAAGAAAAAAAACATCCATTTAGGAGTAAAACATGTCAGTAAAAGAGAAGCATTAATGCAGAATACACAATCAATAAGAGCGTCAACATATGTCAGAAGTGTCTTTGTGTGTAAATACTGTCGATGGGAGTTGTTCTTACTTCAGAGCTGGTGTGTTTCTGTCCTCAGTCTGGTGTTTTTATCTGCAGCTTCAGACTGTGTGATTATTCTATATCTGCTCTTCTCTCAGAACGTCACATTGTTTGTTTATTACTCTAAACAAAGGCCTTTTTCATTTTTCTTTCTCATTCACATATTTTCTGAACTTCTGTAGGATTATGTTCATTTGAATGTGGTCAAGAGTCTGTATGTTTCATAAAGTATTTTCATAATGGCTACAGAGGAAAAGTCCATAATGAAAATTTGCATTTCCTTTTATTATAATTTCAAGAGTTCACACTTAGCTGATGATTGATAATAAAGCTAGTTTGGCATGCTGTCTGGGGAGAGAGCCCTGAGCTCATAAGATCCTCGAGCCTGGGGCTTCCTCCCGTTTGGAGGGAGATCTCAAGGATTCCCCTGTCATGGTGGCTGAAGAGCAGATAGTAGATGATCGCTCGGTTCCAGCTCGTATCTCAGCCTGCCTGTTGGATATTTCACACTGGATGAAAGATCATCATCTTCAGCTGAACCTCGCAAAAACGGAAATGCTTGTAGTTTCTGCCAACCCGACTCTACACCATAACTTTTCAATCCAGATGGATGGGGCAACCATTACTGCATCCAAAATGATGAAAAGCCTTGGAATAACGATTGATGACCAACTAAACTTCTCTGACCACATCTCTAAAACGGCTCGAGCAGATTCGCACTCTATAACATCAGAAAGATCCGACCCTTCATATCTGATCATGCAGCTCCACTCCTTGTTCAAGCTCTTGTTCTCTCCACACTGGACTATTGCAACTCTCTACTAGCCGGGCTTCCAGCTAACTCTATCAAGCCTCTTCAGCTGCTCCAGAACGCAGCAGCACGAGTGGTCTTTAATGAACCTAAAAGAGCACATGTCACTCCGCTACTCATCCGTTTGCACTGGCTACCAGTTGCTGCTCGCATTAGATTCAAAGCTCTGATGTTTGCTTACAAAGCGGTTTCTGGCTTTGCTCCTTCTTATCTGCTCTCACTTCTGCAGATCTATGTGCCCGGCTAGTAGAGAGTTGCAATAGAGAGCCCGGCTAGTAGAGAGTTGCAATAGTCCAGTCTGGAAAGAACAAGAGCTTGAACAAGGAGTTGAGCTGCATGTTCAGATAGGAAGGGTCGGATCTTTCTGATGTTATAGAGTGCGAATCTGCACGATCGAGCAGTTCTAGAGATGTGGTCAGAGAAGTTTAGTTGGTCATCAATCGTTATTCCAAGGCTTTTCATCATTTTGGATGCAGTAATGGTTGCCCCGTCCATCTGGATTGAAAAGTTGTGATGTGGAGTCGGGTTGGCAGAAACTTCTATTATTTCCGTTTTCGTGAGATTAAGCTGATGATGATGATCTTCGAGGTTTGGTAAAGATTGGAACCAGAGACATTCTTGCTGTGAGGCAACAATGCTAACCACTGGTCCACCATGCCACCCATCTAGGGGGAGGAGAAGTAGGCGTGAAAGGGGGATTCTTCAAAACAAAGATAGCTGTGATACGTAACACAGGGTATTTATAGTAGCTTAGGAATCGTCTCATTGGTGCATTGCAAATTTGATAATCCGAGTCCAGCCGGAGGCAATCATAAGCACGTGATCCTCTCGAGATTAGTTTCTAAATAAACTTCACTTATCTTTCTGGTGTCATTCTATTAATAGAATCACTTTCTATTGTGCTGTTTTAATTTTATCTTACATATTTCATTTTTAATGTTCAACACACATACAGTACCTGAAGAGCTGGATCAGGAGTTTAGATTTAGGTTGAAGCTAAACAGATCTACCGCTGGCATAAACCAACTGGTTTGTAGCAATATTTTAGCATTAATTGTATTGTTTATTGCATTATTCTTTTAGTTAATAACTCAGCCACCTATTTTTGTGGAATGTGCAAGATTTTATTTACGTTGTTGTCTCCTGTACACTCAGAAATAAAGGTACACATGTTGTCCCTGAGGCAGTACCGTTTCAAAAGCTAGTATCTAAAAGTAGGTATTCGCATGTAAAGCTCCATATTGATACCATTAGGGTACATTTACCGCTTTCCACACGGCACTTAATCCTGGGTTATTGTCATTTTAAACACTAGTTTTAATCGTAGGTACAGGCATGTTTCACACCAGGGGGCTGTTCCATAAACCAAACTTAGCGAAAAAGCCAGGCTTATTTTGGTAAGTCAGGTTTACTAATGGTGGATTTGGTTTCATATATCAAATTTATGATCAAGTTCAAACTCAGTTACTTTGGCAAATTATGCTGGAAAACTAGCCTGGTTCGAGGAAGAATAACTCTCAGGCTAAGTCTTAAGTTCAAGCTTAATTAAGGTAAAATTAACATTCACCTGCTGTAATTTGATGCCATTTTATTTCACTTAACCTCTTAATAATGATTAAAACTTTGTAGTCAATAGTCAACACCAAACATGGTTGAGAATAGAATAGTAATACAAAAAAAAAAAAAATATATATATATATATATATATATACATACATACATACATACATACATACATACATACATACACACACACACACAAACACACACTAATTTCAACTAAATTTGATAATTTTTATGTTTCTGTAGATTTTTTTTCTTCTGTTTATTCAAATTTGATTTAATATTATCACCCAACATATCAATTTAGGTGTACTAAGGGTGTACTAATTTTTGAACTGTGATCAACGTTTATTTTTTTGTTAGATTAGTTCCAAATTTTGCTCATATATATATATATATATATATATATATATATATATATATATATATATATATATATATATATATATATATATTTCTGGGAAACATCCATACACACTCATACACTACGGACACTTTAGCCTACCCAATTCACCAGTACCGCATGTCTTTGGACTGTGGGGGAAACCGGAGCACCCAGAGGAAACCCACCCGAATGCAGGGAGAACATGCAATCTCCACACAGAAACGCCAACAGACCCAACTGAGGCTCGAACCAGCGACCTACTTGCTGTGAGGCGGCAGCACAACCTTCTGCGCCACTGCGTCACTCTTATCAATTAACTGAAGTTGCATATCTTTGGACAGTGGGAGGAAAACAGGGAGCCCTGGGGAAACCCACGTGTGCATGGGGAGAATGTGTAAACGTCACACAGAAACGCCAGCTGGCTTGGTAAGGACTAGAACCAAAAACGTTCTTGCTCTGAGGCAACAATGCTAACCACTGGGCCACCGTGCCATCCATCTAGGAAAGGAGTAGGGGTGGAAGGGGGGATTCTTCAAAACGAAAATGACTGTGATATGAAACCTAGGATATTTAGTGGCTTAGGAATCTTGTGATTGGTGAATCATAAATTGGATAATGGACCAGCAACAAGCAATCAATCATAAGCACATGATCCTCTCGAAATTAGTTTATAAATAAACTGCACTTATAATTCATTTATAGAGTGTTTAGCTGAGATGCGTAAATATCTCAGCACAGAGCACAAATATCTGTCAACAGCAAGACACTGATACCACCTGATTTGTCTAATGGAAAGACAAAACAACATGAGTTTGTCTTCATTTGTGTGTTTGACGTCAATGGTAAACAGTGCTCCAGTGACAGTTTACAATAGATCATTGAACATGATGTTGTACAATATCAAGGAAATGCAAAAATCATGCTTGCTTATTTGTTTACAATATGTATTTTGTTTTTCAAGAAATGCCTTGTATTGTGTACAGTATTTGTTAGTGGTGTTTGTGTGGGTGTGTGCATTCGTGTTGACAGTGAATGATGACAGTCTTTTCACAGAGGTGTGTGTGCGTGTGTGCTTTTACTCATAACCTTAAATGACCATCTGACCTCTAGATAAGAGTTTACTTCAAGACAGAAATAATAAATTATTAGTTTAATTAAATTATATTAATGCTTTAAAGCCCAGAACTGATAAGGAGAATCCTGAAGCTGGAGACAAGAAGTTCAGAGCTGAATATGGCTTTGATTAAAAAATGACTGTTGTCATGATTCTGTGCATGTAGTTGTGTTAGATCATGTGATTTCTGTTCTGTTGTCCCCCCTTTGTTCAGTATTCTTTAGTAGGGAAATTCGTTAGTTTCCCGTCTCAACAACACCCAGCCCAGCCTGGAAGTCAGCTCAAGATTGAGGCTCCAGTAAGAGGCCGAAGGCCTATCCACTCCAGCCAGATCACAATGCAATCCCCAGCTCCGCTACGTACCTGCTCCAGCATCATCATGCGTCACTCATATCTAATAACGACTGTCACTGAACTCCTCCAGACTCCTAGACTACGGGATCACAATTCAGAGCTGCTGCATTAACCTAAAAGACTTACGAATCCACGTCTTCACCGACTCCGCCCCCCAGGACATAACACGCTCCTGCCACGCCCCCTATCCCCAACAGACTACAGCCCCGCAAACACTCTGCCACCCTGGGGCATCAAGGAAAGCATTAAAGTAATATTGGATTTGGACATACTACAGCAACCATTAATTCTAAACAGGAATAAAACTAATCTCCTGGACAATAAAGCAACTCTTGGACTTCCACCTCACCTCTTACAGCTTGCAGCTTCCCAATCCAGTGCAAACTCCAGCCCTTCCCTTCCAGCGATCCTTACCACCTACGGGCTACGTACCCCGCCCCTCTACCTTGCTATATCCCTGCTTTTCCCCCTCTAATTTTACACACTTGCAGCTACTGCGGCGACGCATACATATTTTGTCAATACGTTTAAGCTTTTACTGAATTACATTTGCTACGTGATCTAATTTTCTGAATTTCTTATTCCAGGTTTGTCTACTGGATTACAGCCCAATTTCGGCGCTCCCTTCCCATAACCTCACTAGACGTCCACCAACGCTGAACTAATAATC